TGTCCAGGGCCACTGTGGGGGTTCCCAGAGGTGCCCAGGGTGCCCCCACTCACCTCCAGGGTGCCCCTCTTGGTGGGGTTGAGGATGAGGAACTTCTTGAGCAGGTTCTCACAGTCCGTGGACATGTAGAAGGGGATCCGGTACTTCCCCCGCAGGACCCGCTCCCGCAGCTCCTGGGGACCCCAAAACCACCAGGGGAACCCCAAAAACACCTCTCAGCACCCCAGAAACATCAGAGCACCCCAAAAAACACCACTTAGCACCCCAAAACCACCAGGGGAACTCCAAAACCACCCCTCGGCACCCCAGAAACATCAGAGCACCCCAAAACCAACCCTCAGCACCCCAGAAATACCTGGGGGACACCAAAACCCCCTCTCAGCGCTCCAAAACCACCCTCAGCACCCAAAACCATCCCCCAGCACCCTGTTGGCACCATAAAACCACCCCCAGGGACCCCAAAATCACCTGAAAACCGCTGTGAGAGCCCCAAACCATCCAGGGGTGCCCCAAAACCACCCGAAAACCTCTGTGAGAGCCCAGAAACATCCAGGGGCACCCCAAACCCACCTGAAAACCCCTGTGAGAGCCCAAAACTACCTGAAAACCCCTGTGAGAGCCCCAAAACCATCCAGGGGCACCCCAAACCCACCTGAAAACCTCTGTGAGAGCCCTAAAACCCCCTGAAAACTTCTGTGAGAGCCCCAAACCCCCTGAAAATCTCCGTGAGAGCCCCAAATCCACCTGAAAACCTCTGTGAGAGCCCAAAACTACCTGAAAACCCCTGTGAGAGCCCCAAAACCATCCAGGGGCGCCCCAAACCCACCTGAAAACCCCTGTGAGAGCCCCAAACCTACGCAGGGGCGCCCCAAACCCACCTGAAAACCCCTGTGAGAGCCCCAAACCTACGCAGGGGCGCCCCAAACCCACCCAAACCCCACGTGTGGGACCCCAAAGCCGCCCACCCCAAACCCACCTTGAGGTTCTGTCCGTCGAAGGGCAGGGAGCCGCTGACCAGGGTGTAGAGGATGACCCCCAGGCTCCACACGTCCACCTCGGGCCCGTCGTACTTCTTGCCCTGGAAGAGCTCGGGGGCGGCGTAGGGGGGGGACCCGCAGAACGTGTCCAGCTTGTTCCCGAACGTGAACTCGTTGCTGAACCCGAAGTCGGCGATTTTGATGTTCATGTCGGCGTCCAGCAGCAGGTTCTCGGCCTGGGGAGGGGAGGACGGGGGGACAGACCCCCCCATGGGGCGTCAGGGGGGGCTGGGGGGTTGCTCTGGGCACGGCTCGGGGGTCCCGGGGGGTCCGTGTGTGGGGCTGGGGGGTCCTGGGAGCTCCCGGGGGGTTCAGGAGTATCTGAGTGCTGCCCTGGGGGGGTTCAGGGGTGGATTTGGGGGCCCCAGGAGCATCTGGGTGCTGCCCTGGGGATCTTTACACCCTGCCAGGGGGTTCAGGAGTATCTGAGTGCTGCCCTGGGGGGTCTCGGGGTGAATTTGGGGGTCCCAGGAGTATCTGGGTGCTGCCCTGGGGGTCTAAGAACTGTCCAGGTGTGGATTTGGGGGCCCCAGGAGCATCTGGGTGTTGCCCTGGGGATCTTTACACCCTGCCAGGGGGTTCAGGAGTATCTGGGTGCTGCCCTGGGGGGTCTCAGGGTGAATTTGGGGGTCCCAGGAGTATCTGGGTGCTGCCCTGGGGATCTTTACACCCTGCCAGGGGGTTCAGGAGTATCTGGGTGCTGCCCTGGGGGGTCCTGGGGGTGTCCAGGTGTGGATTTGGGGGTCCCAGGGGTGTCCAGGTGTGGATTTGGGGGTCCCAGGGGTATCTGGGTGCTGCCCCGGGGGGTCCTTACACCCTGCCAGGGGGTCCCAGGGGTGTCTGGGTGCTGCTGGGGGGGTCCTGAAGCTGCCAAGGGGCCCAAGGGGAAGGTGGGGGTCCCGGGGAGCACCTTAGGGTGCTGCTGGGGGGGTCCTGGGGGTGCCAAGGGGCCCAAGGTCGGGGGGGCTCCTCACCTTCAGGTCCCTGTGCACGATGAACTTCTGGTGGCAGTACTGCACGGCAGACACTATCTGCAGGACAGGGGGGGTCAGGGGGGCACCCCCAGCCCCCCTGGGGACACCGAGGGGGTCCCCAAACCCCCTTTGGGGGGGTCAAACGGCACCAACCCCCCCCCCCCAGACCTGTCGGAACTTGGCCCGGGCCTCCTTCTCCTTCATGCGCCCGTGGGCCACCAGGTAGTCGAACACCTCACCTGGGGAGGGGGGCACAGAGGGGGGGTGAGGGGCAGCTCAGCCCCCCCCCAGAGCCCCCCCAGCCCCCCGTGACCCCCCAGACCCCCCCTCACCCCCGCTGGCGTATTCCATGACCAGGTAAAGGGTCTTCTCCGTCTCGATCACCTCGAAGAGCTTCACTGCAAAGGGGACACAGAGGGGCTGGATGGGGGGGGGGACACCCCCGGGACCCCCCCGAGGGAGGGGGACACCCCCAGGGAGGGGTGGGGGGCCCGGCAGTGCCAGGGTGTGGCTGAGGGGGGTTTGGGGGGGGTCTCACCTATGTTGGGGTGGTTCAGGACCTTCATGATCCGCACTTCCCGGAAGAGCTGCGGGGGACGGGCAGGGGGGACACGTTTGGGGAGGGGTCAGAGGCCACAGCCCTCCCCTTGTGGCCCCCCCAAAATCAGCTGCCCCCCCACCCAAGGACCCCCCCGGCCCCTCACCTTCTGCAGGCTGGAGGAGTTGAGCTGCGTCTTGTCGATGATTTTCACAGCGACCTGGGAAGGGGGACGGGGGGGTCAGGGGGACATCGGGGCTGTCCCCAGGCTGGGGTGGCACTGGGGAGTGGGACAGGGCAGGGGTGGCACTGGGGAGGGGGATCCCAGGACTGTCC